ATTCCAACCTCTGGCATCGCCTCCGGCCCACTAGATTGAATTCTTATTTTTCTTATGTTGGATCTTTTATTTATTAGTCTTAAATATTGATTCTCGACACTTTATGCATCGAATGTTAATTGATTAAATGGTTGACTTCTTTTATGATGTTTATGCTGATATTTCGTGCCATTATTTCTTTTTGCTTATGACAAAATGAGGAAAATAAGTAGATGATTATATAAAAAGGGGAAAAGTTTGTAAGGGGAAACTTAAAATTTTTATGCTTGTTGATTGGGGGAACTTAAGTAAAATCGATAAGGGGAAGATATTTGTAATATTTACATTCCTTGTCCAGTTCAATTTATTAAATGCATTTTACAAATCATCTTGTTTGCCATAATAAAAAAGGGAGAAATTATTGATCTAATGGTTGACTTTTCATTTTGATTATCACAAACAAATTGCGTTTAATCCTAACAAATTGAATTTTAAGTGTTGATCGTGTTTATCATGAAATTAACGAAGAACGAAGACACGAGTATAGAGATCAAGAATCACGCACATAGACAAATGTTTTGAAGCCTAACGATCAACACATAAGCAAAATCGAAAATTGACAAAAGTGGAAATGGAAATCGAGCCTTTGCATAAAAAATCGCATTGGAAAAAGATGTTTAAGCTTTAGCTATATATGCATTTTTGAACTCAAATGTAAAGGTAAAAAACTTTAATATTTCGCATCAATTATAGCTCAAGCAATTTTTATGCACGAAAACTTTTTCTCAACTCACTTGCACAACCTATTTTCAAAGATAAATATTTCGTTTTGACGATTGAAAATTCATAAAAGTACATATTTATACAAAATAAATGAGACAATCCTTCAAGAAACTAAATTGACAAAGTTCATCGCTAAGGAAATTTGTCCGGAGGGCAACACTGCCCATCCAGAAGTCCAGATGGACGTCCAACGGTCACTTTATTAATCATTTTTCAAGCGGCTAGTTATCTGTCCAGATCCCGGTCTAGATTGACAGATTGTTTTACCATTTGAAAGCTATACCCATCTTTCTACCTCATTCACTAAAACAATTATTGAACATTAAAGTGAAGTATTTACTGATCTTTTCTACCTTAGTTTTCAATTCTTAAAAGATCAAATCATTTAATTTTTGAAAAAGTAATCAAAAACTTGCAAAAATCATTTATCTCAATTAAAGTTTTTCAACCAACACTTGA